GAACTTGTGAGTTGTTATAAATAAGGGGATGTTTTCTTTCTCTGTTGTCCGTTCGGCTTCGGCAGGGGATCGATCGATCGATCGAGCTTGCCTTCAGCGTGTTGTTCAGAAAGAGAAAGAGAAAGAGATAGTTAAACATTTTAATTTCTTACATACACTGCCATTATCGAGGGGGAGGAAAATAAGGACTGAATCTTATAATGCACAACAAGTTGAAGCTGAAGCATCTGGTGCGCAGCTGTGGACTGACTGAACTGCGTAACTCCCAACTCCCAAGGCCTTTGGAATGGCGCACCTTAATTAATTTGTTTGTTTATTATGGCTTAACTTCAATTTAATTAATATTTAGGCATTAACTTTCAAGGTTTTCTTCGTTATCATTACTAAGCATTGTTTTACGCGTTTATGGTGAGCATTATTTTGTCCAAGTTTTATTTTGTCGTTGTTGTGTGAGATTCAACAACTTGGAGAAAGGATAGGAATAGGATGGCATCTCTTATATGTTGTTATGGTAACAATAGTTTCAAACACACATAATTCAATTAAATTAGAATATGTTTCTCTATTTGCATTCTTCGTTATCGTGTCTCATATCTCATCGTTGAATCAATGGTAAATCCATATGATGGTGCAGAGGATGGTGGACATCATAGCCCGAGTACCGTCGTGACGGACATGATGGTCGAAATAATCATCACCATAAGCCTGTTTCGGCAACATTAACAAACAAATTCCAGTTCATAATCATATTCTTAATCAATTAATAAGACAATACAAGTTCAACCCACAATATATTCGATGAGTTTAATTAACTAACATATTTATGGTGGAGACCAGTAATATTTTGCTTCTTCTCAATTTGCCAACACATGCCAATGATCATCATTGACAACTTATTCGTGGATTGGAGTCATATTTGGTTGATGGCCATGCTCTGAGGTTGTTTTTATAGATGGTGTCAACTCTAAATGTATGCTTAGATCTAGTTTAACGCAGTCTCTATACTATTAGATGCGCTATTCATAGAGTGGCATATGAAAATTATTGCTCTATCTTGTCCAAAGTCGTCCTCAATTGATTTTGCATTTTTTGAGCAGGGCGGAGATGATAAGCTTGTTTTTACTTCGTTTTCATTGACATGTATATCAGGAGGAAACACTAAATTTGTAATAATATTTACTTTATACAATTCAGATTATCCGAAAATAATACCTTACGTAAATATTGGTTGGCTAACTTACTAATAAATACCATAAAACCATATATAAAGAGTACTTATGTATTCTAATAAATTACTATTGAACATTTGTAAGTGAGATACATTATTTAACATCTTCTAACGATTTAATTGATTAGATAACGAATTGGTTCTCAATATGATATTAAATCTTTGTTTGAGATATCTCATATTCCAAATATCACAGTGGGGAATTCGATAGAGCCAATTTCAATTTGATCAAACGGAATGGAATCCATTTCTAAATTTATTGTGAAACACATGTTTAGTCATCCATTCTAGCTCATTTTTGTCTTGTAATATAATATCACTTTGGAAACAACGATCATATATTTACAGTTGGATTATTGATTGGGGGTTTCAGCTGAACCCCGTATGAGAAGATTAGTCACGCGACTTTTCTATAATCCAAAACCTTAATCAACTTTGGCGCCATTTATGTTTTCTTGTGTTCGACTTTCATCACAGAAAGTAAAAGAGTGTAATAAGCAGCTGGGGAGAAATTCAATTATTATTCCTGCTGTTTTGTTTTTATTTCTGTAGGTATTACGTGTATTTTGTTTATAGTTATTAAAAAAATGTGATCCGTATCAAGACAATGGAGGGAACATTGTATTATTTTTGTTGTAACGCTATCTACTGTTAAATCACAGCGAATATGGCAAACGACAAAGCTAACAACGCAAATACATTATTATTATTTGCTCCTGTAAGATAAAAATCGGGTAGAAGTAGAAGAAGTCCAGAATACAAAGGGAAATGGTCAAAACTGTTTGAAGATTCATGGCTAGCTAGGGGATTTTCGGTCCCAAGACAATGAAAAGATGACGATTTCGATGAAATCAATAGCATCCCCCGATTGTGCAGTGCGATGAGGGTTGCAAATCAACCAAGTCGTGTCAAGAATGAATTGATTTCAATAGAATAAATGGGGTCATCAGGATTCGAACACAAGACCTATCGGTTATAAAAGGTAGTGATGGACCCAAGAATTACATTAAGGGTATTCAACGATGAAATAAATCACTAAGGATTGTCAAATAGCCTTGAGTTCAAATACTACCATCGCAAAAATAAAATTTTACAAAGGAATTTTGGTCAAAAAATGGAAACAAGGTTTGTCAATTGACAAGCCTTGGGCTAACCTAGGTCCGCCACTGATAGAAGGCTCTGATACCATGTCAAGAACGAGTTTATCCCAATATTACTCGAGTTGTTGGAAGAGGTTCAATTATGGATCTATACCACTTACCAACAAGTCATTCATGAATGATTTGGTGTCTAACTCGAGAAAAACTTGTTCAACACTCAACTCGTTGATTTTTAACCGAGCCAGCTCGCGAACAAGCTCGTCTGTAAATGAGCCGAGCTCGAGCCATGACAGGCATTAGTTTCTGGTATCCATTGTGGTTGCTTGTTAATAATATGAATTATCATGTTTTTAGCATCCCTTAGATTCAAAAGTTTTTTTTTATATATATGTTTCTCGAGTTCTCATATGCATTAGAGAATTTGATGAATCGTAACCCACGATTCAAGGGGTTTGCTTGTAACTCACAAGCGAGAGAAAGACGTTGGTGTCTATAAACCTTTGATTTATTAATTTTATACGGAACTAATACCGAACTTACATATTTATAGGCTTAGAAAAGCCTAATACGTAACCTAACCCTACCCGAAATCCTACTCCTATTCGGCTACCCCATCACAAACTCAAAGGAAACCTACACCCAAGCCCAAAATCAAAAGCCCAAAGCAAAAACTCTCATCAATCCTCCCCCCTTAAAATCAACCTTGTCCCCAAGGTTGACCATCGCCATCTTCTTCCTCGAACAAGCACATCACCCTAACATTATTGCATTTGTGCCCAATGGTGAATCGCTCATCACAGTTGAAGCAAAGACCTTGAGCTCGTCATAGCTGCTACTCCTCCTAGTTCAACCTCTTCTCTCCAGGTGGTCTGCGCACCGGTCCTCCTACTCTCACGTTTGCAGTTTGCAGAACATAGCCAACTCCACCAGTGCCCGTCGACCCTCCTTCTCTGGTGGAGCCACCCCCACGAGTGCCCGTCGGCCCTCCTCCTCCGGCAGACGACGCCACGTGACCAGCCGGCTTATGGCGCTGAATTTGATCATTTTTCATCCTTGCCAGGCTAATGGCATCGCGCAAAGACTACGGCCGAAACATCCTAATCTTGTCGGCGATCTCCGACTTCAGCCCTCCCAAATACGTACCCACCAGTGCCTGTTGCGTCTAGCCGACGCAGCGATTAGCCAATTTCTCAAACTCCTTCTGGTAGTCGCGCAGGGACCCTGTTTGACAAATCCGTGATAGGGCTTCGTCGCAGCTTTCTCCTTTAGTTGGACCGAGCTCGCCCACAGCTCCTGCGAGAATAGTCCCCAGGATATAGGCTCTCCGACGTTTTTGTAGGATCGTTTCAACCATTGCCACCACAGGTTCGCTTCTTCTTCCAGGTGAAACGCAACTAGGGGTACTTTCTGATCCTCCAGAACGTCATGATACTCGAAAAATTGCTCTACTCGTGGAAACCACGATCCGGGCTCTTCTCCTGCAAATTTTGGGAACTCCAGCCTAGCGAGCTTGGCGTGGAAGGTTCCCCCGCTGCTGCCACGACCGCCCGCATCGCCGGACGACTTTCCGCCATAGCCGCCACCCGTCGCCGACTCGCGGTGTCGAGACTAGACCATGTATATGATTTATGGTTCGAACCGATAGGCTGGAGTATAGACCATAGACCATACCACGTACTATACGATTCAAGTCAGACCACGCTTGTGCGGTCTAGTCCATATAAACCACAATGAACGAAAAATGAACAATTTGTTTAGTCAACTGCACAAAAATTGAATCAATAACCGATAAAAAAAAATCTTTTTTGGCCTTAAAACATAAACTCCAACATGCATGAAGAATTTTGACACCTTAAATCTCAGTAAAAAAGAAAAATACAAAGTCAAAGCATCTCAACTTGCACCATAACGTCATAAACATTAACATAATGTCATGTAGAGATACGATCGTCTCTACTCTCTAGTGAAATGTGGTTTGTGAATGAAAGAGGGGACAAGTTTCTCAACATTAGGGTTGAGACGTGGGTCTTGTTGGGAGAATTGGGAGAGTGGTCGAGTGGGGTGATAACACATATTGGGAAGTCGATTGAGTCCACGGTTTGCTCCGGTAAATCGCGGTTTGGACAAGACCAGCCAAGAAATTAAAGCATTATATAATATATACCATGGACCAGACCAGATAAGACCATTCTTAACAGTTTATGGTCGGAACCAAACTGTGCGGTCCAATTTGGTTAATAATTTTTTATACCGTCTTATCTATTTTCCAACCCTAACTAATAGGCTTACCCTCATCCATTCCACTTCTTTTGGAAGAACTTGAGTTATCACTAATTCACCCTTATTTTTTTTTTGAGGAATTCACCCTTTCTTTATTACCAAGTCTAATTAGGTTAAGATTTCTCTATACTTGAAAAAAAAACAAGGAGAATTGAATTTATTAAATTCAAAAGCAAAAAGTGGGGAAAAAATGTACCCACCCCACCACCCACTATTCAACTAATATCCATTTGTTGATTTAGACGATACATAATTTTCCTCTTTTTTAATTTTCTGTTTTCTCATTCCTTCGTACTCACTCGTTTCCCTACACACAAACCATAAATGATAAAATATCATATGCACCAAAAGAAAGTGAGGAAAGAAAATTAAAAAAAGGAAAAATGGTGAAGAAAATGAAGGGAAGCAAGCAAGCTAGAGAGACATTGAAAACAAAAGGGAAGAAAATCCAAATCCAAAACCAGAAGAGAGAAACCCACGCTCAAATCCCCCACCTTTCCCCTTCCCCATCTATCATCCTTTCAATTCCTCCTCCTCCCTTTTTTGGGTTTGAAACTCCCCCAGTCTCTGCTTCCTGTTTCAATCGCCCATTTACTCTCTCCTTTCTCGCTCTCTGTCTCTGTTGAATCTCAGTCCCCTCTCTACCGCCCACCTCACCCACTTGTCTCTCTCTCTCTCCTCTTGCTTCTTTCAGTCTCGGCCGGAACTCTGCCGAGTTGGGTCGGAGCCGTTTCGGCCGGGTCTGCTCCGGCGGGGCACGGAATTCGAAGCTGTCTCTGCCCCAGCTTTTCTGGGTTCAAATTTTTGTTAGGCTCAACCCCCTTCTCTTCGCCTCTGTACCCGGACAAGAGTTGGAAATGCGGGAGACGCAGCCATTTTTCTGGGCTCTGAAGCCGATCCGAGAATCGTCGATTTGAGGGGAATCGGAGAGGAGGAGGTTCACTTACCTTTGAAGCTTTCCACCCATTTCATGGAGGTTGTTGGCCCCTGCCGTCCATGTTCCTGGCGTGGATTTCGTACTAAGCTCAGATTCACTGTCGTTGTCTTCGAGGTTAGCTCTCTTCTTCTCCTTATTCATCTTCTTCCTCTCTCCTTGTTCATCCCTCTTCTTTTTTAGATTTGGGCTCTCGGCGAAGGTCACTTAGCTTTCTCATCCATTTGAAATTTTGGGGGTTTGGGGAGATGTTGCTGGTTGCTTGATTGAGAAAGGTTGAAACTTTTTCTTCGATGACCCTGTTTGGTAGCTGAGAATCTGACGGGGGCAGAGAAGGGAGGAAATATTATGGAGCGGGGTTATCTTTTTCATTTCAGCCGTCTGAATTGTTTACTGTTGCGGGTGGAACTGCAATAGAGTTTTTCAGAGGGTTAGGGTTTCCTTATGAGAAATTTATTAATTTGGAAAGTGACTGGATTCAGTAATTGATGATCTTGTCTGCCCATTTCCACTGTGAATGTTAATTTTGTGAAGATCTTCCTCTGCAGTCACTTTCTATGTGTCTATCCTTTTACTCAATCGCTCCTTTTCGTTTTTACTTAATCTCCTTTTATGGAACTGTTCATTGCTAACACCTTGCATACGGCAATGTTTTCATTTCTTTTTATGGCGAACATAAGCTGGGTTTTTACCATAGATATCTATTTCAGAGCAGGTATTTAGCTGTTAAGGGTTCGTTTTCAGTACTTAAACATTAGTGGGTAGTGTAGTTTGAAGCTCTATTGAGCTCACAAGCCTCCATAGTTTGCTTCTCTATATATTGGTATACCTAATACCTATGTTAAGTTTATCTTGCTAGATCCATTGCTTTTCCTAACTACCAACCTGCTGCCCTACTTGTTGCTCTTCTTTCTTTTCAGTACCCTTTTTCTGTTTGGGATAGTTTCTCTAATGATGGGAGCTCCTTTTCTATTTGTGTGGCAGATTATCTTATTCATCTGTAGCATTCAAGCTTCTGAAAGCTCACTGCATAATCTGAAATCCCAAAACACGGACAAGGGAAGTGAGAATGTAGGCTCACATTCTTGCATTCATGATCAAATAATCGAACAGAGGAATCGCCCAGGTCGAAATGTATTCTCAGTTACCCCACAAGTTTACAGTCACTCGGGTGTCTCCAAAGCCCTCAATAGGAAAGGCAGGGCATTGCTTGGAATTTCGGAATTGCTTGCGGAGAAAGCACAGGATGCCAAACAGCCTATTAGGATATATTTAAATTATGATGCCGTTGGCCATTCTCCTGATCGAGATTGTCGGAAAGTTGGTGACATAGTGAAGGTTTGTGCGAGAAAAGAATTAGATTACTATTCCTTGCTCTTAAATTTGTGAATGAAATTTATCAAGTGACCCTTTTTGGTTTACCTTGATCAGCTCGGTGAGCCTCCTGTGATTTCTGTTGCTGGAACTCCTTGCAATCCTCATGCCGATCCTCCTATTTTTGGTGACTGCTGGTACAATTGCACTGTGGATGATTTCTCCGGGGAGGACAAGAAACATCGCCTTCGCAAGGTCAGTAGTTTCTTGCTATCTGTTGGTTTTGTATGGCTTTGCAAATGTCCATTTAGATAGAAGAAAGACCTTATGGTTGTGGTTATACTGAGCTTTTGTTGCATTTTTGTGTGTAGGCTTTAGGGCAGACAGCTGATTGGTTTAGGAGAGCTTTAGCAGTTGAACCTGTGAAGGGGAACTTACGGTTAAGTGGATATTCTGCATGTGGACAAGATGGAGGAGTGCAGCTTCCTAGAGAATATGTGGAAGGTATGATATTACAATTTTACCTTTTGGTAGATAGCTGCAATCACACTGTTTGGATTTTTTAGTGACCGTTCTGGTTCTGTAATATTTGTAGAGGGCGTCTCTAATGCCGACTTAGTTCTACTGGTGACAACAAGACCCACAACTGGCAACACGCTTGCTTGGGCTGTGGCATGTGAACGTGATCAATGGGGTCGTGCCATAGCTGGTAATCCCCATTGTGCTTTCATTTGAGTGAACCTGATTATTATCTTATTAATCCTGGAATGAAAACCTGATTCCTTGGTGTTTTGTCCATCATAGGACATGTGAATGTTGCTCCTCGCCATTTGACTGCTGAAGCTGAGACTTTACTTTCGGCGACACTCATTCATGAGGTTTGTTTCCTTGGCTGATTAGTCAGTTAATCTGGTTGGAGAAGAGTGAATTATTTTTCTTCTTTACTGATTGGAGAAGTGTGAATTATTTTTCCTTTTCCAGGTTATGCATGTTCTTGGGTTTGATCCTCATGCCTTTGCTCATTTTCGAGATGAGAGAAAGAGAAGGCGTACTCAGGTATTTATTCAGTGGCCACTCACAATGTCTAAAGAACCAAACAAATTTAGAAGTTGGACTGAGAAGAGATTTACCTACTAAGGACGTCAGATATGACTAGTCTTTTATGTAATCTTGGAGCAAAAAAGGGTCTGCTTCATATTTAGAGTTGCTCTCTCCTCTTATGTAAGTGCTTAGTTGGTTTGTATAAACAGATGGCCAATTGGTGTTACTATGCTTTGTGTCTCCTTTCATGTTACTCCCATTTCAATTTTAGGCATTGGTTCTGAATAGTGCACATAATTATATTTAAAACTTTTAATTCTATACTAATTGCTTTTTTTTTTTTTTTTTTTTTTGCTGTCCTTAGGTTACTGAACAAGTGATGGATGAAAAGCTTGGAAGGATGGTAACTCGTGTGGTGCTTCCTCGTGTTGTCATGCACTCGAGACATCATTATGGGGTAAACTTTGCTGCATGAACTTGCAGGAATTTTTAGGGAGAACAATTGCTTCCTAGGTACCATCTCTTAGTTCCACTAGATTTCTGATTCATTATTCGTTTGGCAGGCATTCTCTGAAAATTTTACCGGTTTAGAACTTGAGGATGGTGGAGGTCGTGGCACATCAGGTATTCATTCTGAATTCAAGCGTGTGCTTTTCTTGACTGTGCCTAGCCCACGAGCTACTCCTTAATGAATTGGAAGTGTTTAGTTAATGATTATGAAATATTATCTGTGCAGGGTCACACTGGGAGAAAAGGCTTCTAATGAATGAGATCATGACTGGATCAGTGGATACCCGTTCGGTAGTTTCTAGAATGACATTGGCTTTGTTGGAGGATAGTGGATGGTACCAGGCCAATTACAGTATGGCAGACCGTCTAGATTGGGGTCGCAACCAAGGGACCGAATTTGTTACTGCTCCTTGTAATCAATGGAAGGGAGCATATCATTGCAATACAACCCAGTTATCTGGTTGTACTTATAACAGGGAAGCAGAAGGTTACTGCCCAATTGTAAGTTATAGTGGTGACCTTCCTCAGTGGGCTCGCTATTTCCCGCAGGCTAATAAAGGTGCTAACTTTGTCAAAGCCACGTCTTTTTAGGTCATTTCTTTTGCAATTTCAATCTGCACCCTGCTACTTTGTCTCATATTAAATTCTTATGTATGATTCTGGACAGGTGGACAATCGTCATTGGCTGATTATTGTACTTATTTTGTGGCCTATTCTGATGGATCATGTACAGACACCCATAGCGCACGATCACCGGATAGGATGTTAGGTGAAGTGCGAGGAAGTAACTCCCGGTATGAGATTTTGGAAATCAGTGGTTGCTTTAGTCATGTAGTCGAATGTTGCTTGTTTTGAACATGCTGACATCAACTTCCATTTTCCCTTATCAATATATAGGTGTATGGCATCATCATTAGTACGTACTGGCTTTGTGCGAGGTTCGATGACTCAAGGAAATGGTTGTTACCAACATAGATGTATAAATAACTCTTTGGAGGTATGCCCTTCAGACTAGCATTCTCCTTTTCCGTAGTATATTATTTTGGGTCCTCCCTATTCATGATCTGGTCTATTTTGGCCATCTTATTACTCTTGTGCAGGTTGCTGTTGATGGTATATGGAAAGTTTGTCCTGAAGCTGGTGGACCAGTTCAGTTTTCTGGCTTTAATGGTAACGATTGGCCTTCTTTTACATCTCGATTCATCCTTTTGGCACTTTGAAATCCTTTTCTTTAGTTCTCATTTTAATTCTGTATCTTTTAATCTGCAGGCGAACTTGTCTGTCCAGCTTACCGTGAGCTCTGTGGCACTAGTCTCGTTCCTGTATCTGGCCAGTGCCCCAGTTCGTGCAATCTTAATGGTGACTGTGTCGATGGGAGATGTCAGTGTTTCCTAGGATATCATGGCCATGATTGCCGTAAACGTGAGCAGCTGTGATGTCCTTGTGTTTTCTACTTCATGGGCAGTGGATGGAGCGAGTGTCTTTCTCTACTATTACTCCAAATTTGACTTTTTGTTTGTTTGCAGGTGCTTGCCCTGGCAATTGCAACGGCAAAGGCAAGTGCCTTGGAAATGGCATATGTAAATGCAGAAAGGGTTACACTGGTGTAGACTGCTCGACTGGTAATATAACCTTTTCCAACTCAAAGTCTTCTTTTATGGAGTTCCAATGACTGTTCCCAAAATTCATCAGGTGATGGAATGTTCCGAATTGCTCGAAGTTATTATTCTAACTCATACAACCTGTCATATGATCTGCTGCAGCTATTTGTGATGAGCAATGCAGCCTTCATGGAGGAGTATGTGACAACGGGGTTTGTGAATTCCGATGCTCAGACTATGCGGGCTACACTTGCCAGAACAGTTCCTCGCTTCTCTCCAGTCTCTCGGTTTGCAAAGACGTGCTGGAGAAAGACATGTCCAGTCAGCATTGTGCGCCAAGCGAATCGAGCATACTCCAACAGCTTGAGGAAGTCGTGGTCATGCCAAACTACCACAGGTTATTCCCGGGTGGCGCTCGTAAGCTGTTCAATCTGTTTGGGAGCAGCTATTGTGATGCAGCCGCAAAACGCTTAGCGTGCTGGGTAAGCAAGCTGCTTCTCAATATTTTTAAACCTTATTTATGATGAAGTTATACTGATGTGGCATGCAACTGAGGAGAGATACTGTCTTCTTGACCAGATATCGATCCAAAAGTGCGATAAAGACGGGGACAACAGGCTGAGAGTGTGCCACTCGGCATGCATGTCGTATAACTCAGCGTGTGGGGCATCGCTCGACTGCTCTGACCAAACCCTATTCAGCAGCGAGGATGAAGGCGAAGGGCAGTGCACTGGGGTAGGGGAAATGAAGGTATCGTGGTTGAGCCGAATGCGGATTATGTTGCTTTCGAGTAACACTTCATTGAAGGGAAGTTTGTAAAATAATAGGGAGATCAGTGGTGGTAGTTTTCTCTTTTCTTTGGGGTTTGTAATTTTTCTTTTAGAGGTAGAGGGAATGAAAAGGAGGGCATAAATGGGGCACTTAGCCAGTTGCCTTGTTTGTGCCCTAAGAAGGGTGGGCTTTTTTTAGGGTAAATGGCCCTTAGTTGTAGAATTAGTAGTAGTGGGTTCCTTCCTCCTCCCTTCCTGTCCCAAAACAGGGCAATTTGAGAAAAAAGGGTTTTGGGAGGGAATGGGAAAATTTGGCTTTCAAAAGAATGAAAAGCCAGCTTGTAGAGAGATTTGAAAGGAACAAAAAGGATAAGAAAGAAGAGAAATTTGTAATCTGCACAGAGGAAAAAGACAAGGGAAAATGGAGAGAGAGAGAGAGAGAGAGGTGGTGAAAGGGCTTTGTTGAGTGAGGAAAACAAAGACAGTAATTAGGCCGAAGGCCTTTCTGGAAATGAGAATTACAAAGCTGTTTTTGTTGTGTATTCATTACTAATTATTCCCGGTTGTCTTCTTCCACCAAAATCCTTGATTTTGTTGTTATCCATTCTGGTTTGAGTTCATCTTTTCTGTTTCTAGACTCGTTCAACAAACCAAACGATGTGTTGGTTTTTCTTGCCAGGAAATTTGGGGTACACATTTCACCACCTCACCTGGAATCAGAATTCTGAGACACATGTTGAAACTTGTGAATTAGGTGGTTTTTCTTTTGTCGAGAACGAGCAAATGTATATATATGCTAGTCTTTATTATAGAGGACGCGATGAAGCTTACATGAAGAGATGATTATCGTGATATGCCACAGATCAACAAATTAAATGATCTTATTTCTGAACCGTAATCAACAAATTGATACAAGAGACAAAGAGACTTCAATTTCTTATGTTTCAAGAAAAGACAATTCAACTGTCTTTTTCGTTGCTAGGATACCGATTAGGGCACTATAAGAATTGATGAGCTATTGCCCCGCCAAATGTAGGGACATAATTAAAGGAAGATAGAATGAGAGAAGGATCATTTGAACAACTAGCGCCATGGGTCTTAGTGATAAACTATATGCTTGTAAGTTATTTTATAATGTGCAACCATAACATTTAGGGTGAGGATAATGAGTCTAATTTGCATCGATAACAAAGTACAATAACGAGTAAATTAAAAATTGCACCAAACACATACTAGCCTTGAACTTGGAGGTTCCAAACTTGTATTCCTCACCCAGGGATGGCAATCCAACCCGAAACCAGTGACGGAGGCAGGATTTGAAACTACCCCTGTCCTTTTTTCGTATTATAAATATATAAATATTTAATGAATATAATTAAATTAAGGGGAGTTCTATGGTACCCAGGGTGAAATCCGGGGTACCGCATACCTTGAGTATGAAAACGCGATCCAGACCTTGAATGGACTGATCTTTCGGACATGATACTATACTCTAACCCTTAAAGATCAAAATCTAGGTCTTAATTCTCTAAATCTTATACCCCAAGATCAATTTAATTAGAAACAATAATCGACGGTTGTGATTCGTCCAAATATAGGCAAAAAATGAATGAACCATCTTAGGGTTATAGTTTATGATTTAGATAATTAGGACCTAGGGTTCACTCATTAAGGGTTAGGGTATAGTATCATGCCCAAACATCCTGCTAATTCTAGGTCTGGATAGCGTTTTCATACTTAAGGTATGCGGTACCCCGGATTTCACCCGGGGTACCGTAGAAGGCACCTTAAATTAATAATATTTAAATAATATATTTTCATATATAAAAAATAACTACTATTACAATCGGTATTTTCATAAACAACCCTGACGAGTTTTCATATTCGGAAGAAACACACAATACATTCTTTGTCTACACACTAAAGTAAGTCCTTTTCAATGGATCTCACTAAACAACCATTAGCAAATTGGTCGTGAGTTCGACTTCAAAGTTCGTTCTTCAGATAGCTCAAAGCTGAAAATATTTTATCGACACTTGCCATCAAAACTAGTGGAATCGGCGCTGCCACTAAACGTCTTCAAGATTGCTTGCAAATAATCGAATAGGCATATAAAGAAAAGAGATCTATTCCAATTGAGATTTCGTTTATTGTATAATAATTAATTCATTGTCAATTTATGATAAATAATGAGTTGTGATATAGTAATGAAGTACAATAATGTTGTATTTCATCCTTCGTATAAACATATATGAAGTATTTTTGTTCCTCCCAAAATTTACCCCTGTCCCGGGACAATGCCCAATAGGGCTGCCTCCGCCACTGCCCGGAACCATGGGTACCCTACCCGACCGTAACCGGTCAACGTGAGTAATTATCCGCTTTGACGGGTTAAGGGTCGGGTATGGGTAATACCCGGTTGTAAAAATGCGGGTAGGGTATGGGTATGGTAATTGCTAATACCCGCTCCGTTGTACCCGCACCGCTAACTAAACGGTAGATATCATGTATTGTGTTTTTGTTTGTGTGGATTGTAGAAGCAAGAACAACTATTATGTGTTTTCAGTTTTTATTTATTGGAATTGTTGTAGCTAGAACCGTTACAAGTCAATTTTTAATAGACACCAGTATGTATATGTCATTTTTAATGACAAAAAGTGCATCTTTTTTTTTTTTTTGGATAAGGGTGATATAGATTTTATTTTGTTGTTATTAAGGTACTACTTAAGGGATTCGAACCTGGGACCTCCAGGTTTTAGACTAGTGGTATTATCACTAGGCCAAGCCCTTGTTCGTAAAAAAAAAAAAAGTGCATCCTTTTCACCTTGGGCGTACTTATTCTTCAAGTCATTCATCTTAGAAAACCAACCTACGTATAATCAAAACCCTCTTTCCCACGAATTATTAAAAGAGAAACAAAAAAAATATGAAAACCAATGATATATATAGTTCAGACTTTTGTTTACCTCCATGGTATTTTCTCTCGACTTTAGCAAATCCATTCACAGCAATCTCTATCTCTGATTCAGAACAATAATAGAGACCGCCCATCGTAAGCTACTTGAGGCACTCAGTATCGGTCATAATTTTATCATCTTGTTTCATTGACAAACTCTTCATTTTCACGCGAAGAAACCACTCCTTCATTATCCAAGTAAGGACATTAAAGTCTCATTTCATGTATTGCTCCATCAGTTTCGTCAAATCTAAATACCATCATAAACTTTGAATTGGAAAGATAAAAAGTCAAAGATCCACAATTTCTGTTTAGACGAATCATCAACTAGAGATGTAAAGCAAAGTAAGAAAGGACTTGTGATGACCAAATTCATCGTCCCCGATAGATAGCTTTGCCGATTCGCACGAGAATAGCTTACGGAGAATGGGACGCTCAGCCAACATAAATGTGTACTAGCGTGGGTCCCGGCCAGTTGGCCGGAGAAAGGTGAGGTATGAAATTTGATAATGTAATAGGGTGTATAGTTTATTGTTGTATAGTTTTTTTTGGGAAGCTCGTGATAAAAATAGTGAATTTTAGCAGGAAAGAGACATGAATGATTAGGGGTGGTAAACGTTTTCCGGTTAACGGTATAACCGGTTACCGAATGTTCGGTAAACGGCTGAATGATTAGGGGTGGTAAACGTTTTCCGGTTACCGAACCGGTAATCGCCGGTTACCTGTTATACCGTTAACCGGTTATAGGTGTTTCGAACGGTTGCCGAATAGCATGTTGTCTCTTTCGGCTAACCGGTAACCACTTTCAATAACCGGTGTGTTAACCGAATACCGATAAAATAACCGGTATATCCATCTCCCTTCTTTATTTCCGCCCTCTCTGTCATTGCTACCCACAATCTCGGCAAAAACCAAACCACTCCAACTCCTTCCCCCTTTCCTCTCGTTCTCGGATCCACCTCCCTCCCGCTTTCTTCTCCTGCTCCCCAAAATTCTCGATTTCTTCTCCCTCTTCTTCCTGAAATCCGGATCCACCTCCCTCCTCTCTGCCTCAATCTTGACGAAACCAAAATATATCCCTATTTCTTCTCCCAATCTTACCAGAAATAACTCGTCGGTAGAATTGACTCCCGAGCAAACGAAACCCAAAAAATCAGGCCCTCTTCTCCTCGAAATCAGGATCCACCTCTGCCAAATCCAAAAAAATCTCCCCCGATTCCTCTCTCCTCAAAGCCCTGTCGGCGACGTTGCCTTAGCCGGCTTGATTCCTTCTCCCAAAATAAATCCCTGCCTCAAATCTCCAAATCGGGTGCCATGTAAATAGGGCTGGACATTCGGTCAGTTCGGTTCAAACCGAACCGAAATAATGTATACCGGATTTCCGAGAAACCTCAAACCGAATTCGAACCGAATTATAATTCGGTTCGGTCGGTTCAAACCGAATTATAATTCGGTTCGGTTTTGTATGAAAACCCGAACTTGTGAGGTTAGCTTGTATTTTTTCTCTTTTAAATTATTTTTCACCCCTAATGTAAACAATAAATATGCAATTAAATGCATCATCAATGATAAAATCAAACATTTCAACACATAAGTCATAAAACACTAACATACTTCAAATATTTGAGTCTCATAATAAGTACAAACATAAAAATCCACCATTTGGAACTTGCAATTACAGTAATTCGGAAATTCGGTTCGGAATTCGAAAATTCGGTTCGGTCGAAAGGACCTTGCTTTCCGAAATATACCCTTTTCTCTTCCGAATTCCGAACCGAATTAATGTTATTCGGTTTCGGTTCGGTTTGAATTCGGTTTCGGTTCGGTTTTACCGAACCGTATGCCCACCCCTACATGCAGACTCCTCGCGCGGCGGCTATCTCTTCCTCTTGAGGCTAGATCCGGCGACATGCTATCTCCCTCGCGCGGCTGTGCTTAGTCCCTCTCGATTCCAGATCCGGATACACCGCGGAGACAAGATGTTGGCCACACGCCGCCGGCGACTCGCTCTCCCTCTCAAATCCAGATCCGGCGCCATGTTACTCCCTTGCGCGGCGGAGCTCTTTTCATCTCGAGACCAAATCTCTCTTCCCTCTTGATTTCAGTTTCAGAGCCGCAGCCGGGACATTATATTGGCCACTCGTCGCCGAGAAAAAATCATATTTGTTGGGGTTACCGGTTTACCGGGTTCGTAACCAGTAACCGGCTATTCAGTAAATGGTAAACCGACTATTTTTCGGTACCGGTAGTCGGCAATGATTTTCCCTAATCCGGTATACCGTTAACCGGTCCGGTAACCGGCCGATTACCAGCCCTATGAATGATGTAATGAATCAAAAATCGGCCTTATGAACCAAAATCAAGTACATGTTACCTTGTGAAACAATATTGTTTCTGGTAATATGATGAGGTGAAGTAAGTTTTATAGAAATCGAATTCCAGAAAATTGAATAAAAAATCGCCTATCCCGTCGGTTTTCGGGAAATGAGCATCTCACAATCGTTGCTAGATTTTACTCGGCCCGTTGGTCGATTAATTTGCTTTATAAAACTTTCATCTTGTCGTCATTGTGCTTTCTGATTTTTGTTAGGCCATGATAAAATCTAAGGAAATCAAGAACGAACAACACGATTTGGGATAGGAACAGTCGTTGTCGTATCCCTAGAAAATGGTGGTAAACACAGGATCACCAGCCAAACTGGTTTGGATTGAGATTTTTATCGGGTATCAGGGAACCATGTGATTATAAATTAGACTTGATCAAAACGGGCCAAAACTTGAAATTCAGCATGTTTGACTGACCCATGCCAAATTCTAATTATTCTTTACTTTTAAATTTTCTATTTGAAAATAAAAAATAGTGAAAGAAAAGAGATGACTGCAATTCGCCATTTGCACATCACTTATTCGGGAATTAAACAATAAAAATTCAAAAGGAACTGAAAATGTTTGGGATCGTTTTAATGTTTAAAATAACCAAATAGATCGTTTTGTTTAGTTTTTTACTAACAAATAACAAACGATTTCCTATAAAATACACTATAATTTGATCTTTATGATATCAAATAATTATATAATATATATTTGAAATGATAAAAATTGGACTAATTGGGTTGGTCGAGGTTGAACCATTGAATAACTTTAAAATACATTATATTTTAGTCACTAAGATATAAAATAATAACATAATATATATTATGCCAGAGAAAATAGCTTGTTTTAGAATGACAAACCAATGATGTTCATTTGTTTTACTTGATGGCCAAATCCCGCGTAGGTTAGGCCCATTCAACTCTTTTATTTTATGGTTAGCGGTTAGCCCATTAGATACCATGCATTAGTTTGTTGTTAAATTTTTTTATTTTTAGCAATAAAAAGGAGTATTGTTTTTGCCTTCTCATATATATTTTATCACCACGGAGAAATAAAAGGGTTTAAAGAAAAAACTGACACTCCTCGACCCGTTTAAATCCGCATGTGTACGGTAAGTTGGCCCGTTCCACAGAGGAAAGAGAAAAAAATTGACACTCCCTATTCTACCCTTCCTACAAACGCTCTTGGAGCAGGGAATTTGAAATGGAGGAAGGGTTTTTCTCCTTGCTATTATATGTTTTTAATTTAAAAAGATACAACAAATGTACATAGTGTGATTTGTTATGATCCTTGCTTTTCTTTAAAATGGTCATGTTTCGAATCCCAGTACATGTCTTTTTAATGAATAAAAAAAATTAATTGTGAAGACCAAAATGTCCTTCCTACTTTCACTTTCGTTGCAGGAAATTTGAAATGGAGCTCCCGTTTTTTCCTTCGGTGTATTATATTATGTATAGATAAGTTCATATTTTAGTATTCGTACCGTGGTTACCCGAATACACGTGGTTACCCGGTGGGTAGGGTATGGTTATGTCATTTCCATACCCGATGGTTATTTAATCGGGTATTTTAGGAGGCTCTACCCGACGGGTTAGAAGTTGGTATAGGGTGAACCTGCACCCACCCTACCCATTACCATCCCTTGAGTCACCCTCAAGTAGCATCTTATAATGAAAAATTGAAAACAAACCCATATCTCCCATATCTAAACAAAGAATTCAAACTCAGAAGTTAATTTGTATTAGAATATGCAAAATATTAATAATAATAATAATAATAATAATAATAATAATAATAATAATAATAATAATAATAAGCAACCAAAACAAGTAATGAGGCAAATCTTTCCAATCCAAATCTGCCAAACAACCCAAAAGGTAATATGAACCAACTCCTGTAATAGCTACAAAATTTTGCGATTAGCAGTAAAGGAAAGAATCATAACACGACGAAATTGGTGACCGTATCATCACGACCCGGTTAGACGGAATGTGATCAAGTAGTCCGATCATTGTTGAGGTTTCTTTTTTTCGGTTTTTGAGAGAGAAAGAGTTAAGCTTTGAGTTAGTCAACTTTTTATAAACCGAGTTTGAGATGGTTAACTTATGCAAACGAGGATGTGATTTTTAGTCTGGAGCCCAAGATTCGAATTCAAGGGATGACACTCGTTTCCCTCTTTCCCATCCCTCTAGTAGCGCCTTGTAACAGGCTCTGTAAAAAAAAAAAAAATAGATGGTTAACTTATAGATGGAGATTGAGAGGCTAATTAATAGCAGAATTGGAGGTAGTTATTTAGTCGTGGAGATAGTTTAGATTGGATCGTAGAAGTTGGGAGGTTTTGAATTTATACTTGGGATGAGACTATTCAGGGGTAGAAAATAATGATCAAGTATACAAAATCAATGTACATGTGGTTTGGTATGATGGAATCGGGGGAGTGAAATTTGCAACTACATGTAGTCTAATTGAATATATCATGATAATTTGTTAATATAATTTTGACTACATATGTAATTATATATATATAATCTCTCAATTATTTGGAGTACGCGATATATATGAACATTCACTCTCTAAAAATGTGTTCCATATAGCATTTTTAACGTACTTACCATGTCATTGATAGAAATAATATCAATTTACAATGAGAAGGTCTTAGTTCTAGTCGATGTATGCATACTCGGAAAGTACAAGTGCTAGCGGATACAAATCTACCTGCTTTGGTGATGATTAATTCTCCATCTCAACAATATGAAAAATGGTGCTATCCATACATCAAAAAGGGGGATTGGTTCACACTTAAGAGTGCGACACATTTGACCTTACCAATCTTGATTTAGTCGGACTTGTTGGCTTGGGGATGAATGATAAACTAAGTATTGAGTTTGGGGATGGATCGCTTAACTTCGCTTGATTAGGTGTCAGCTAACTCTGTTGTCTGTGATCTTGATACCTATTGTCACAGAATTTCTAATCGTGGTGTTTGTTGATTTGCCGACGCTTAATTAGAAACGCCTAAGCATAGGGTTAACTCGCCTTTTTGAACCATATCAAAAGATAATTCAAGTGGTAAGACATGAGAGTTCACATGATGAGTTCCCCGTCTTTAACAACAAATTGCCTGCATGCTGTCAGTGTAACTCCAGTAAACAATAATTAAGGAAATGAAACAGCTCAAGATAACCAGTTAACCACAGCATAAAGCCACGTGAATATCCTCAAGCAGCAGCTCAGAGTTTCAAAACAATATGCTCAGTGAATAAATTCACATCCATATGGTCTTCAATCAATCAAACAACATTTACCTATTCGGCAGAAATAACATCAGAGATCTTGATGGATCTTCCCACCTCACTTACAGTTACAGCACAACATTTGCTATAGCAACTCAAATTCAGTGGATCGGCGATCCGAGGTTTGATCTACCGATAACAAAGGATGAAAACCATGCACATCATCACATACTACTCAAACCTCAAACAAATAATCACCAGTACACGAATATTAAGAACAAAAAATTGTGGATTAACTTAGTTAGGGTTCACAATCAAAGGGATGGAGAGAAGAAGCATCTGTGAATAACAAGGGTACAGAGCAAAAAAAGCCAGAAATGGAAGCTGCATTTTCATTTCTAGACATTACCTAAGCAGGACAAAAAGACGGGGATTCTGCAAACCTAATACAGGCAAAAAGCCAGAGATAGAAAAGGTCGAGAAAAGAAAAAGGAAACAAACTGTTTCGAGCTGCATGCCTCCAATCTTTTAGCAAACTGAAAAGGCACCGACAATTTGAGTACTTGGGTATTTGGCTTTGATTGTCTATAGTCTATACTCTATACCCTCAATTCAAAGAGAGCCACCTAAGACCTAACTAGCTACTTTCACCTCCCATCAAATTTTCCCTTACTTTCTAACACCTGAAAAGGCTACACTACAAATTAATGCCTTATCTGTTCCAACTCTTATCCATGTCTCATTGTCGACATCAGTCCCAACTTGAAGGACATCAGAAAGTGAGACAAAAAGTACCAAAATGGAAATAGGGAAGCAGCTAACCAAAATGGAGACACATTTTAATCATTCTACTTTAGCAATGCATCCATGCACGGATTGCAGTAATCCAAACCCACAAAGAAACGGCTAATAAATTTTACTTATCTGTAGGAATGGAGATTTAGATGCTCAGACCATCCCTTCCTCGCTAGTCCTGTGCTTCAAGCCTCAATGTTTGGCTCCTCGCCGATGCACTACCCTCCTGCATCAATATTGGCTATGGATTTGTGCAAAAACACAGTTGACAAAGAAATTTGGACTAATCAAGTTTGAGAACGAGATGCGTCAATGATTGGATCCATCACAGACTCATATCATTCTTGTTCAATATGTCGTCAATCTGACAAGGATCATGCTTTACAATCTCAACAGTCTGAGAGTCGACAGTGGCCAGTATGTATGGAAATGAATGCAAGCAAGAGGTGTTTCTTTTCTCCCAAAATAGATTATATTCAACACGAGAAGGCCAAACTTAAGACCCATTTTCCCAGATCACAAAAACATCTTTCAAGCTTTGTTGCTCTGCCTATGATATTCATCATTTCATTTCTTTCTTTTGGCAGTAAACAATGTTTGAATAGAGTCGAAGACTGGGGTTGGACGAAAATTCAAATAAGTAGCTGAAGCTAGATATGCACAAGATAGGCTTACATAAGCCTTGAACCAAATCGACTGGAAGAATGTAAGATAAGTAAACATTGCAGTCAAAGATATTACTACTGCAAAATTCACCAAGCATTGCAAAGTGGAAAGTTCTTTTTCGGTTCCTTCGCCAGGGAAATGTCCCTCCGTTTTGAAATCTGAAAGCAACTGATCCTTCAGTTTGAATGCATCGACTAACCAGGCAGAAGCCTCGTCTTCAGTGGTCGGGATATCCTTCATTGGGATACGCCGAACATGAATGTGAACTTCTGAAGGATCCACCCCGAACGCATTGTCCAAAAATGTAGGACATTGATGCTTGTATGCAATAGTCAAATCGTAAACTGCAACCACAAGAGAATTGTTTAACAAAGGGATCATGGTCAGACATAGGCTGTGACCGCTAAATCAATGAGGAGGAACACTATTTCCCTCAGAAGGGTAAAATACTGAAACCGTTATTTTATTACTTTCAGCTGTGTTTGAAAGAGTTGATTAAATGGCAAGTTACCTGCGTCCAAGGAGTTCTGCAGAACTTCCAAGCAAACATAGAAGCCCTTTGTTTTAGGCAGAAGGACGTTTGTCAATACAGGAAGCCCCACTTCAGCGGCATATTTTTGACTCTTCTGGCATTTCTCTTCACTGAGTGACAACACACAAAAACAAAAAACAATAAAAGGTCAGCGATGCAAAATTGTAGTTAACTATAAGTACAACTCAAAGCTTAGATTCCACTGCACAAATTCAGATCGCATCATGAAATGGAAGATGACATTCATAGGGATGAAGGGAATAAGGCAGTACTTGAAATCTGTTCCTTCAGGAAAAAGGGCAAGCCACAAAGGATCTCGAGGATCCTCAAAAGTCGAGAGCATTTTTCTCATCACCTGCTCATCAACTTCCCACTTCCTCTCCACCGATATGAACTCCAGGATGTGAAACCCCCACCCAAATATCGGCAGCTTCATCAAACTGCTCTTCAACACGTACTTTATACACCCTAGGCATCCTTTCCTCAACGCCAGATTCCACAGATACATCCAATCGACCTCGGTCCTATGATTCGCTAGTACCAAGACTCGCTCTTTATCCGGCACCACATCCCCAGAAAACACAACTCTAGTCCCATTTATCTTTTCAAACAAGAAGGGCCACAATGCTAGCCAGAGAGAGAACAAGTAGGACGTTACTTTTCTGGAACCGTGTACGCTAACAAGCCTCGGCAATACTGCTGCTGCAGGTCCAAAGTAGACCAAGAACGTGAACGCGGTCGACAGGTAAACTACTAAACATATCAACCCCCTTACTAGCCTGAGAGAAGTCAAGGGACGATGCTTCAGACCATGACTGCTTTTCACAGGCTTGCAAGGTGCCACCATTTCCAGTCCCCTGTGGAGGGAGGGAGGAACCGCTTTCTTTTTTTACTAGCTACAGCTGCACAACATGTTATAGTAAATTAGCACCTAAAACTTCTCATAGCTCCGAGAAGAAACAGCCAATTGCAAATTGAAAGAGAAGCTCGAAATAAAACTCCATGCTAGTGCGGAATCTGATCTGATAGAGAAAAACGCATACAAAGAATTGAGAAAACGACTATACTTCTTTTTCTTCTCGAATTAAAAACTTCCTTCAACGCAATTATGGCAAGCAACATAAGATTAGAGTTTCAAACCAGAGTTCAATAACGCACTTCCTCTGGATCGCAATCTCACAGAACACTGTTCCATTAGAAAGGCAACAAAAAAGTCGTCGCCAAGAAACTCCGTAACAGTTCAGAATTCAAATCCGCAGGTAACCATAACAGATTCATTAACTAAACCACCACAGCTCAAAATCATAATTGACCGCTACATCCGCCATATCCACAGATTCAGTTAGCTCTAAGCTTAGCACTTAGCAGCATCTTGTAGCGGGCGAGGGAAAGAACACGTAAAAATCGAATCAACGCGAGACTCCATTACCGGGAATCCGAAGAAAACAGAGACAAAGATCTACGCGAACTGAATCTTAAAAGATGAAATACTCACCAAGAAACGTCCGGGAAGAGAGCCGACAGATGCGAACGGATGAGAATTGCGGTGGTGATGCAGAGCAGCTTTGTGGAGAGGGGAATAAGAGAGAGAGGGAGGGGATGCTTGCTCGGCCGTCGTATTCGAGCAGAAGGAATTTGTTTTCTTCCCGAATCTAGATTCGTTCGAGAATACTATCGCTTCCCCGGAGGAAACTATGGAGCGACGGGATTGGTCCGGATTCCGGAAGAAGCGGAGTGCCGGGTTACGTGGCGCGGTGCGATTGGTTCGTGGGACGGTCGCACCAAGGGGCTGCTCTGAGCTCTGTGTATCGGATCGAGGCCGGGGGGATATGAAGAGTTGACGTGGCGTTGCGGGGAGCGCCAAACGGAGGCTTTGATTTATATATTTGTTTGGCAACGAACTGAGGAAAGAGAGGGAGTTGTGATCCGATTTGATACCGAAACGGTGCCAGCCAGCGAAGCGAGCGAGGAGATAGGAACGGAAAGGAAACGACGAGGAATGTGAATGTCTGGCTGAGCTGAGCTTGACTTTCTTTCTTGGCGTCTTGTTGGAATTGAGCCGGTCAAGTTGGTCTTCATCTTGGGCTTTACCACGGGCTTGTTGATGCTCCCGTCCATTATTTCAAGTGATACAGCCCAGAGCCACTGATGGATGTTAGCTTGGGCCGGTAAAATAATGTCATTTGAATCAGTCGTCACTTATTCCGTATCTGGAAGGAAGCGGGCCCAGATTTCCTTTGCCGACATCTTGTGATGGTAACCGTTGATTTCCGGGAACACTAACCACACAGATATGCGTGGGAGAAGGAAGGGATTATTTATCTGAATGTTAAACATCGTCCTGAAAATTACTAATCGTTGTTCGAACTTAATACGTAAATTACTGAATTATTCTTTTTAAAATTCAAAAACAAACCCTAAACAAACAACCCCTTCCCACTTCCTCTCCCCGACATTTCCAAACCCACGCACGCTGCAGGCAGCAAAGACGTCGCCGCACAGTCGACCCGCCCCCACGTCGCCACTCCGGCCACGCCTCTAGTCCCGTCAGCCGCGCCGTCAGTCCGCAGCGTCGTCGCCAACCGCGCCAGCAGTCGACGCCCGCCGCGCCTCCACTCACCGTCGCCGTCAGCCCCTCCTCCCACCACGCCTCCATGCCGTCCGTCCTCGCCGGAGAAGGTAAGCCTCCTGCGTCTCCCCTCCCTTCAACGACCGAAGCCACCGTTCGGTTGGCCCTCGGTCAAACCGAGGTCAACTTTCGGTTGGACTTCGGTCAAACCGAGGTCAACGTTCGGTTGGCCTTCGGTCAAACTGAAGTCAACTTTCGGTTGAGCCATGGTCAAACCGAAGTCAATTTTTGGTTGAGCCATGGTCAAACCTAAGTCAATTTTCAGTTGGTTTGATTTTTAAATAATTTTAATGCAATTAATTAATATAAATTGTTATTAAATATTATAAATTAAGTAATAATTAGAAATAATTGTAGTTAATTATAAATAAGTTGTATAGTTTATAATTTATTATAAAAATTATATTCGAATAGTTTTATGAATTCAAATGAATTCAATTATGAAAAAATATTGTGAATAATGTAATAAAAATTATTAAAAATTATCTGAAATTTTTAAAAAGTATCAAAATTTAGAAATATAATTTGTCGTGGCTCCAACCGACTAGGCCTCAAGGTAGGAAAGTGGTTGTAAATCCAACACTGTAGTAAAGTCAAACAACACGTCACTCCCTTAGCCTCCGCCTGGGAGGCAATACCAAGCTGCCTGTACAGATAAGCAAGTGCTCCAGCCCCACGCGTACTCTCCTAGCATATCCGGCCTCTTCACAAACAAGTTGATAACAGAAGAAACACATTCCTTACTCTTATCTATAAACAGTGTGGACCCAAGAAGCTAAAGAAGGTAACACTGAGCCTCTCTAGCTGGCGGACCAGACTCCTGCAAATGAGCCAAAACTGCCACACCCAACAAACCAAACCCTCTATACCACTTAGACTCTCTGGAGACCTCTCCAACCTGCGCCACGTGGTCCAAATCATCGCGATCTAAGCCCAGTAGTGCTCACATGTCATCCTCCAGTGACCTCTTCTCCAACTGCCTCGGGTCCGCTACCATCGCCTCTCCCTCAACCGCAATGCCAAGAATGTGAGCCACATCGTGAAGGAGGATCGTCATCTCTCCAAACGACATGTGGAAGGTGTTGGTATCCGGCTGCCACCTCTCCACATTTGCCGAGATGAGAGCAGTGTCCAGCTCGCTCTGGAAGGTGATATCAACAAGGTGAGAAAGGCCCGATGTCTCTACGCTAGTCCTAGCGTGAGAATCTGCGATCTCATAACCGTCTAGAACGTGCAGAAGCGTCGAACTCCTGTTGTAGCAAGTGATCACCCCTCTATCAACCTGTCCGGTGTAAAGACGGTGGCAACATGCCCAAGAAAGCTTTGGAGCAAACTCGGGTTGCTCGGCCCTCCAGCACACGGTCCTCTAAGCTCCCAGGCCTCTCCCACAACAGCATTACCACTATGGCCCTCACCAGGCTGTGGAGCTATGTAGAAATGCTCCGCATGGTCTCTATAAATCCTAGTAACGGCATGTGACAATCCGCTGGCGGCACCTTTATCTCTGATCGGACTGACTCGTGGAATGCGATCTTCAACAGCATCCGACTCATACTGCTCAGACTCGTCATCAATCTCGCCTGAATGCTCAAACGGTGAAGTATGATGATCCCTCGCCCCAAAGTTGTGACTGGAACCAGGTCTACTATCAACAATACTAGGCAATTGAAAATCAAACTGAGAAAAAACCGTCTGCCCTCAAACTCATCGGTGTCACTAGCTGATGTGGCTGTGGCTCATGCTCAGAATCTGACTCTGACTCCGTCTCATCTCCATCCTTTGGGTTTTTATTTCTCGTAGTCATACTAATGTTACGCCCAAGAAATCTTCTCAATTTCTTTCGTGATCCTCCAGAATCACCAGCTGACGCAATCTCTAAACATAGTCAATAATTTTCTATTAATATCTTATAATAAATTATTTGTTGAGCAGTTTGTTCATAGTTAATTTTAATCATAGACTAATTATGATACATAAAATATGTTATCTAATTAATTTAACTAGATAGTTATTTTATTTAATACGATAGGTAGTTATTTAAATAATTATTTCAACTTACTCAATTACTTAACTAAAACATGATAGATACTTATTTAAACTAACAATTATCTATGATCTATTTAATTTTATAATTATTTAGATAATTATTATAATAAATTATCTATTAATATAGTCAATAATTATCTATTAATCTCTTATAACAAATTATTTGTTGAGCAATTTGTTCATAGTCATAATTTATCAATGACTAATTATGATACATATAACTTGTTATCTAATTAATTTAACTAGATAGTTACTTTACTAAATACGATAGATAGTTATTTAAATAATTATTTCAACTTACCCCATTAATAAACTAACACATTATATACAAATTATATACAAATTATTCAACTGACAATTATATACTGATTATTCAACCAACAATTATATACTAATTATTCAACTATCAATATTAAAATAATTAAGATACTAACAATTGAATTTAAAATAAATCTAATATATATTTAATTAAACCGAATGAGTCAAACCCGAAACCTAAATTTTCGTTTGGTGTAGCCAGCCCGTCGCCGAAATTCCGCAGATCGTGACCAACTTCCGCTCCAAATCCAGCCACGGCGTCTCCCTCGCTTTCCTCCTCACTTGGGTCGCCGAAGACATTTTCAATCTGCTGGGTTGCCTTCTGGAGCCTGCAACGTTGCCGACTCCGACCGACCGTCCACGCCGACTGGATTTACAGAGCTCCTCGATCTCTTGCCCTTTCCTTTTTCTCAATTCATCTCGACTGGAAACTGTAAGTTATTCCCTCTCTCCTCCCTATTTCTTACATTGTTTCTTCCTTTCAGATCTGCACAGAATGGACGACGCCTCTTCCTCTCCCTCGGCTTGTGCTCTCCTGTCGCTGCAATCCCGGCTTCTTTCTCCTAACTACAGCAGTAGCAACAGCAGCAAGGGGCATCTACATGAAGAGTCCACGACGGGAGAGACACTGAAGTGCCTATTCAGAAGCGTGCAGTTGTTGAGATCCGCCAGATTAGGAACCAAAGAAACTGGGACGGTTACGATAACGGGAGCGGGGAATACATATCGTTATTTTTTATTTTCTATTATTCTTTTATTTTGGTTTTTACTTTTTACTTTCATTAATTGATTGGTTGGAACTGGAGTTCCCCACCCCCACCCCACGTACGAATCCAAATCAGGTAAGTGTTTCATTTTTATATTCTTTTTCCATCTTTATCTATAAAAAAAACAATAACAAAATCAGAATTCAGAACCCGCCTTCTTGCGGTAGGTCCTTTGCTTGGACATGAATCGCTGACATGCGACTCTTTTTTGTCACGATTCTGTCATCACCTATCCATTACACATGTATGCATTTGGGTACTTAAAGTGGTTTGATTATGTCTCTTTTATTGAATGATAATGATTTTTCAATCTCCTTTTCTCTAACACTTATGCATAAGCTAGTTGTAATATAATGTATAGGTGTCTCTGTGTTGATGCGACACTACCTATCTTTGTAAATTACCCATATCGTTGGTAGTGTAGATCGTGTTTATGGAACCCATGCCTCTTGTGAGGTTATTTGTTGGTGTTTATCTAATTCTTTTTCTTACGTTATATTTTTTTTGGTGTTGTACAGGTGATCTCTCAAATGGTCAACGCGAAGGATTCGGCTCACGTTTTGGGAGGTGTCATCCTGTAGAAGTTCAGGTGTACACGTTCATCTCTCCAGCGTGTTTCGTTTCATTTCGCGCCGTGTAGGTACAAAAGGGCTGCCCTTATCGTGGCAATCAAGTCCTCTCATCGTTGGTTCAACACCTTGTTGACTAGCACAATTTACTTTTTTATTAGTTTGGCCTGCAAAGGTCTTGTATATTTTTGTATCATGCTATTCCTTTCGGAATATCTATGAAAAAAAATCAGGCAAACCCAATCAGACCGGTCCGACCAGGCCCAGTAGACGCGGTCCGACCAGGCGAGGCGGACGGCACCCGACCAGGCGAGGCAGACGGCGTCCGCTCGGGCGAGGCGGACGGCGGCTAAGGTACGAAGAAAAAAAAAATACCTGGAGACGACGACGACGACTGGAACAGCGGCGAGAGCGAGCTTGGGAGGTCGGCGGCGGCGACAGCGAGCTTGGGACGTCGGCTGATGTGGTTTGGGAGGTCAGCGACGGCGGCTTCTGGGTCTGGAACAGTGGCGGCCGGCGGCAGGTGGGCGGCGGTGGTCTGGGAAGTTGGCAGGAGGGAGGGGTTGGCGGTCAGCAGGAGGTGAGGGGTTGGGAGGTGAGGATTGAGTTGAGGTAGATAGGTTTAGGATTTTAAATTAGACCAATGGCAAAATCGTCTTATTTTTTGTAACTATGAGCGGAAAATAGTAAAACTACGAGCGGCAAATAGCGATTCATTTATTTATTGGTCCGATATTAGTCCTCCTCGTACATTATACTTCGACGATAAATCCCTAAAATTTGTAAACAATACAATGAAGTCCTGATTTTTTCCTTAGACAGGTGTCATTACGGTGCCAAATACATTGGCTATTTGGAGGGAGGCAAGAGCATTTTGTTTGGATATTTTTCACATGGCAACTTGTTGCTAAATTTCTCTTTTATTTGATGCTTTGCTATTATGAGTTTATCTTTTTTTCTATAAGCTTGCTTTGCTATTATGAGTTGGATACACATGTTATGTGTTGTAGCCTTGTAGGTTAATTATCATTACATCCTTTTTCATCATTTCTTTGAAATTGTGGAAGGTTGAAGTCTTAAAATTGAGTTGTTATTTTATAGCACTCGCCTGTAATTGGTGAAATATGCACGAGGCATTTAGGGACAATTGTCTCGAAATGAGACAATTAAGTCCAAAAGGTCTTGTTTGACTTGAGATTTTTTCTTCCTAAGTAAGAAGTATGGCCATTGAAAAATTTGAATGCCCATTTATGGCATTTGGACAAGACAGAAAATTGACTTTTGGAAATGCTTACTATTTGGTCAAACGTCTCATTTTTTTTTCAAATAACCCAACAAAACGATATAGTATCCATTTTTATTTTTTTCTTACGAATTTAATATTCTTTCTTGATTTACCAAATTATTACGATTAAGAAGACTTTCATTCAACGTACTCTACTTCTACAGTTCTACTTGGCTTTAATTTATCGGTATGATCACCTCATTCAAAGAGGGATCTTAGCTTAGGTGACTGGTATGAGAATTGACTCCAAGGACTCCACTCACCTCTAATTATTAGGTCCAAGCAAATATTAGAACAATTCATTCCTACATTTCATTATGGAAAACTGTTGTGACTGCATTAGGAACTAAATAGTAAATTCGGTACTCAAACGTAATTAACCAAGAACCCACACCGCTACGAGCCGAACAATCTGTCGGACGTGATTCACATGAATTTGGCGTGGAATGAACCCAAAAAAAAAAAAAAAAAAAGGAAAGAAGAAGGCGGAAGAAATAGAATTTCTGGTTACGGTTGGAGCGTCAAAACATTGTCCGGAACAAGAGAATTTCGTTGTGTTTCAGAGTTCTCTCTCGCGCCCTCCATTTTGGTTTTTGACTCTTCATTTGGGAGTCGATCGATTTCGTGGGTCGGTCGATTTTTACTCCTTCGTCCCCCGATCTCTCATCTGCTCAAGGTCAGTCTACCGACTCTGAATCTCAGTTCTTCTCGATTCGATTTCAATCTTGCTGTTCATATTTGCTTCGATTTGATGTTGGGGAAAGGGAGGTTGCGAGTAAAACGTGCTTAGGAAGGAATTTATCGGATTGGGATTGCTTGTTTATTGATGATAAGTGTTTTAATTCTGTGGATTGATTTGCGGGAATTTGGTATTCGAGAAACTCGATTAGTTCCCCGATCTAGATGCGTAAGGTTGCAATAATGGTGGTCTAATTGAGTGACCCGACGGATTTTTTTGTTGAATTTGTGAGAGATTTCATTTTCCCGACCATAAGTTGTTGACTTTATTTGATCTTCTCCTAATCTAGTTAATTCTTGGAAAATTTAAGTTCAATTAATAATTTTTTTAGGGTGTTGTCTCTTTTTTGGTTGTTGATTCTGGGTTACTTGATTCTGTCGAAGAAATGGGATCCACCTATGGAGGGCTTTCTGGGTTCATGAATAAGATGCCAGTTCTTGCTTGTGGTGTTGATTTTGCTATTGTATGTGTGTGTGACTTATAAGGAAGCTTGGATTTGGGGTTTTCTCCAGAAATGGCTAGTGGGTTAGGGGAATCAACCAGCAGGCCGCCCGAAAGCCCTTCCTTTCCTAGCAGCAGCAATGGCGATGCAGGCAACTTCGAATGCAATATCTGCTTCGATTTAGCCCAGGACCCTATTGTAACTCTGTGTGGTCACCTCTTCTGTTGGCCATGTCTCTACAAGTGGCTCCATTTCCACTCTCAGTCTCGGGAGTGTCCTGTTTGCAAGGCGTTAGTTGAGGAGGAGAAGCTGGTTCCTTTGTATGGTAGGGGGAAGACATCTACTGACCCGAGATCAAAGTCCATGCCTGGTGTTAATATCCCGAACCGTCCATCTGGGCAGAGGCCCGAGACGGCTCCTCCACCAGAACCAAATCATTTTGCTCAGAATGGGTTTGGGTTCATGGGAGGTTTTGCACCTGTGGCGACTGCTAGGTTTGGGAGTTTTACACTTTCTGCTGCTTTTGCTGGCCTCATCCCTTCACTCTTTAACCTACCTGTTCATGGGTTTCCACATGCTGCTATGTATGGTGCTGCTAGTGGTTTTCCTTATGGGTTCACTAATTCGTTCCACGGCGGCCATGCGCATACGTATCCACCAGATCATGGACAAGGCCAACAAGATGTCTATCTCAAAAGGCTGCTTTTCTTAGTTGGTTTCTGTGTTCTCTTTGCTCTGCTCTGGAATTAAAAATAAATTTGTGTCCATGATAGCTTAATTGCTAACAGATGCTGCTAGGTTGTCAACTAGTTTGTCCACGTAACTTTTCTAGTCTGTTATCTGATTCAGAAAATCCCCACCTTCACTCTGGTGCCAAGGCAAAAATGTCCATAACTGCGTTGTTCACTACTCTTGTAGCTTTCCTTTTTCTCTTGCACCAAGTATGCTGAGTGCAGATTCACTGTTATTTCTTCAGCTTCCCTTATGTTGTATGATCTTTGGATGTATCATGTTGGTGGAGCCAGATGTTTGTGGCTTTTGTAAATTCATTTTTCATTTTCGTGACATCCTTATTACTTAGGACCTCGCTTGTGAGGTCTCTACTGATTTCTTTGCTTCTATGATGTGAATTTCAATCTGGTACATCTTCAAGATAACTTGGACTATAGCTTACGATCGCTCTATACTTTATTGACTATCTTTTGGGACTAGTAGGCTTTGATCTTTTCCTTGCTTCATGGTTTTTGTTGTCATTGCATATTCACATTCCTATCTTTGGATGATCCACGATAGCGTCTTCTCATAATTAGGACTTCCGGAGCATTTCATTAATCTGCTGCATATTGACATTTAGTTTTCAGTTTTTCAACTTATCATGGATGTACTAGTACAGGAGGTTTGTGTCCCTTTTGAGGAAGGATGAACGTTATTGTCTCCTACACAGACCAAGAGAATGTCTTTGACGAGTTATTTCCAGCCTTCAGACTCCCAAAAATATCTTCCCGAGACAGAGGTTGGGCTGTGAATGGAAGTGTTAGCAGGATTTGCGCTGATGAGGAGTTGCTGAGATCAGGTTAGACATCATCTTTTACTGCCTTTTGTAACTGTTTAGGGACAAACCACACATGAATAAGTGGAACAGATTTGTCCTGTTGTAGGGTCCCAAAAAGATAGTGCGAGTTCCTTATCATTGCAGTACCATATGCCTGAATTGTCTGGTAGCTATTGAATCTTTCAGTACTGGCGGGTGCCTTTCTTTTGCCTCGCTTTCTTCAAAAACTTCAGCAGCAGTAATGGAATGATTCCCGAGTCACCACTTGCTCCTAGGATGCCCTTCAAATTTAGGGAGAGTGGCCCCGTTTGTTCAGGATTTTTTTTCCATCTTGGAGCACATGGGTTGTTACCTGGGTTCAGATTATTAGGATTTGTGTTCAGATTGGTACAGAGAACAGTCCCTACTTTGCTTTTACAGCTATTATTGGGGATCATTGATCCTAGATAAAGCTTCCATGTTGTAGTATGGAGGATTGCTGGCTTCCTCTTTTAAGTGCATACCTGAGAGACGCACTCCCACAGTCCCACTGTATTGCTTTTGGGTCTATTTTACAAGTCACAACTTGCCAACTTGAATCTCTTGATTTACCTTTCTTCTAGCAACCTTTTTAGGTGAATCATATGCTTTGCTGCGAGGAGCTAAACAGGCATTTTGCTGGGAGTTGAGGAATGATACTGTTGTAGTAAGTTAGCACAGGGAGGTATCAGAGCCGATAGATTGGTTTACGTTCAACTGGGTTTAGACCAGCCATGAGTCAGATCGTGTTGTCTAGTTGAGTCGGGTATACAAGCCTGTTAACACAATGATCCGCGACTCTGAATTACGAGTCGGTTGAAATTGGGTTGCTCCGCCGAGGCTGCAGAAGGATTGCTAGGTTGTTAGTGTCGCAATGCTTTCCCTTTTTGTTGGATTCTGGGTTTGACTTTCATATTGCAATGCAAAATCAGCAAGCACTGAACTTTGATGGGAAAAGTTGAAAGTTCTTAAATTTTGCTGCTTTCCGAGAGTTGTGGACTATCTTGTGAGTGTTGTCGGATTTCTTTGCGGCCAAAAGATGATAAATAATGTTTACTACTAAAATTTAGGGTTGGGAGAAAGTCGGCTGGAATTTATGAAATTCAATCCCAGCACGTTCAGGTTAAGACTATAATGTGGATCACCTGATGACTATTTCTAGCTAGTTCCTGGTCTTGTCTTTGTGAATGAGGTTTGCATGCGCGTCCTACCGATCGAGTGGTCATTTGCCCGTTGAAATGAGATCTAGATATCAATTTTTTACTCGAAGTATGTCATACCTTAAGTTTAGAGGAAATGGCTGAACAATTCAATTACAAAAATATAAAAAGAACACGCTATATTCCATATACAATCGGTAATTCCATATACAATCGGATTACAGATGAACAACCTATTCTGCTATTAAACGAGTAGCTCTGATAAAGCTCAAGAGAGCTAAATGACACGAAAAAGACCTAAAAAGTTATATAAACTTACACATTCGGAAGAATTTCTGAGAAACCGACCAGCCAAACAAAGTAGTTGGATTGGATGTCAACCAACATAGCACTCGTAATCCAAAAGCGGAAGCCAAGAAATTTACCCCTTCAAAACCACCCATGAAACTTCCTATACTTCTCTTTTTTGAGGTTTTTGTCGTTGGCGGCTGGGGGGCCATGGCCCCCCGAGAATTATAGATTAAGTCAAGTAGCGATTAGTATTGCAAAGTTGTATTGTAGACTAGTGGTAAGAATCCTTGATTAGGGAGGATTCGAACTTCGAATCCATATGGACACAGTTTCTGTATTTTAAATTCATTTTTATTATTTATAATTTTCTAGTACTGCTTTTAACTATTGTTTCACCCTTTATTATCATTTTCAACAATTTTGGCGGATTTCCTTTTTTGTTGACTGATTTTGAATTTTACTTCCTTTAGTATTTAGTTATTTATTGTTTGTATTATTGGATAATATCTTGTTTTGATTCATTCAATAATTATTTATCTTTGTAAATGTGCATTTTGAATGAAAATAATAAAATTTAGCTACAAAACGTGAAGTTTCTTGATTCAATAGACAAAAAATATTCGAAACATTTACCTTAATATGATTTTACGAATGACGAATCTATCTATCAAAGCAAAAGAATGTGCAATATTCAAATTTTGGCCACCCACATGGAAATATTGGCTTAGGTGCAGTTTTTCAATTTTTGGCCCCCCGGAATAGGAATCCTGGCTTCGCCCCTGGTCTGGGAGTATATATATATATATATGGTTCAGGCTAGCGTACGCCCGGGCGTACCTTAGTCTACCGTACGCCCGTTGAGTTTTGCTATTTAGACAATGAATTAACCGGAGTTTTTGGCATGATACTATACCCTAACCTCTAATGGATAAATCCCAGTCCATAATTCACTAATCCAAAGCATAATATTCATTTAATCTTGAAATGAAAATCAACGGTCTTGATTTGTCAAAATTACTGTTGATTTACTTTTTAAGATTAAACGAATCTCAAGAGTTAGGTTAGAAAATTAGGGACTGGGGTTTATTCATTAGAGGTTAGGGTATAGTATCATGCCAAAAAATCCGGTTAATTCTGCCATATATATATATATATATATGTATGCATGCATGCTAAACCTAAACTAGATAAAAAAAATCGGTTTATATATTGTCAGCTTAATTATAGAAGAATGGGAACAAATCTAAATGAGTTGTATGTAATAGTGTTGCATGTTCTTCCCAACACAGCACAATCATCTAATGAATGATCATCAACTGCTACGGATCCATATGCACAAATATGATTGAGCATTTTCAAATTTTCATATCATATATTAGCATCCATATGCAAATGACAATCATAGAAGAAAGAAGCTTGTGAATAATTTTTGAGCGTTTCAATATTTTAGCAAGAGAAATATTTTTTATTGATCTCAATTAATCAATATTAACGCTAATAACTCTATTATCTGTTTTTTTTTCTATTAGTGAAAATTGATGATATTATTTGATAAGATAGAAATGCGAGTTAATTCAGTAGATTCTTCGCTACCAATTAATAGCGACGAAGGTTAATAAATCGTTAAATTGCTACCGTCTTCACCGCTAACTTGAAGCTGAAGCTATGGCTCTTCAGGAAGCTATCATAGCAGCTCAAAGAATGAACACAACTGTTCAAGGGTGCGTTTGGATAAGTGTATTTTAAATGTAAGGTATTTGGAATACTAACATTTGAAATGGATGTATTTGAAATATTAGCATTTGAAATACATGTAATTCAAATTCATTGTTTGGATACTCATTTGTAATTTGTTTGTATTTTGTATTTTATGATTTTGAATTTCAATTTTTAAATTTCTGGTCACTTACTACAAATTTTGGTAAATTACAGTTTGGTACCCAAATTTATTTATTTTACAATTTAGTACCTAAAATTTTAAAATTTTACAAAAAGGTCCTGAAATTTTGATGGTAAAATTACATTTTGGTACCTTAATATGTTTTGCCTCGCACTATAGTACCTAAACTTTTCATATTTTACAAATAGGTCCATTATTTTGTTAGGAGGTATTTCAAATCACTAGTTGTTGAAATGTATTTGAAGTTGACAAAAAATACACTAGAGATGTATTTGGAAATCATCCCATGAATTTGACACAAATCCAAATACCAAATGTAATTAATATCCAAACACATGATTTAGTATTTGGAAATCCAAATCACAAATCACAAATCCAAATCATTGTATCCAAACGCACCCCAAGTGATATCTGATTGTCAATCCCTTGTGAACGCCCTGGAGATGCCACCTGAATGTTGGCCGTGGGCGTGTGCAGCAAGACTCAGTGTTATGGCCGCCATTTTTAACAGAGTGCCACGGTTACGTTTATCCGAAGAAAATACAACTTTCGGGCTGACTGGATTGAACGCTCGTTCAGTCAGAGATCTCTCCCCTGGGATTGGATTACTGTTCTGAATGTGTTGGATTCTTTCTTTACTGATGTATCCTGACGTTTGGTTTTGAGGAATATAACTAACGATTTACCACTGTAAAAAAAAAAAAAAAAACTTGAATCTGTCAATTGAGCTGAATTGAAGAGAATTCTACCTAGTTTTCGCCTAAATTGAACTTTCCCAAATGAATGACTTTTGTCTCTTCCTTTTCAGTTGTCAGGTGCCATAAAATGTGCAAAGACAAAATGGCAATGTGGGTTCCAATAATGTTTATGAAGCCATGGAAAGGTCGGCTGGCTCTGACCTGACTAGCTCTCACTTACTGACAAATTACGACTCAATTAGTTTTGAATCACGACGCTAGCTGTTTAATCATTTCTTCTTTTTCCACCTTTATAATGCATTATTATTGGATGTTATTCGACCGGTTCTATAAATTTCTAATAACAAATTTATGAGAGCCAGGTCATTTTATTTGAACCGGCTATTTCATCAATCAAGATCAAGAAAATTTTCCCAAAATGATAAACCATGACAATAGAATTGTAGAGTACACAATATTAACTCGCATGTAAACCGCAAATAATATATATATTTGATAATCGAGAGGTCTAGTGTCAAAATCTTAATGACCCCGAACATATCATTCGGACCTGTGCAAACTTTCAGAATTATATAAATGACTTCTGTTTGAAAGAGATCGTTAATAAAATAAAATAATGGATCCATAATTGAACTTCTATCACGAACTCGAATTATCAGAATCAACCAAATCGTTACAAAATTTTATATATATATATATATAGGGTTAATTGCATGGTTGGTCACTGAGATTATAAAAAACGTTCATGTTTAGTCACTATAAATATTTAATTCCATTAGTGGTCACTAAAATTATTTTGATAGTTCATGTTTGGTCACTCTCCGTTACCTTCCGTTAGCCTCCGTTAACACCGTCAATATTTTGCTGACGTGGCTAACAGAAGTGCTGATTCATCCCAATTAAATTATAAAAAAATGAAACCCGACCCGTACAATCAGCTAAACCCGCCACATGATATACCCACCCCAACCAGTGACCCAACCCGTCATCTTCTTCCTTTATTTGACCCGACCAAAAAACCCTAATAACTCACCGTCGCCAGCTCCTCCTCCAAGTTCAACATTGTCGCCGCCTCTGGCTCCTCCTCCGAACCCAAATCCCTCTCCTAGCTCGCCCTCAACACCGCCTGCCACGAGGTCACCGACCATTCCCCAACTCCGTCCAATACAACATCAGCCTCATCCAAGTCCAAATCCCTCTCTGAGCTCGCCCTCACCGCCACCTTTCAAATCGGAGAAGAAGACCTTAGAAATATGATGACCTTCACTCGTCAGAGTCCAACTGTGCCGCAAAATCC